CGAGAAAATAAATTACAAAGATTAAAGTGTAGAAATTAAAAGATATACGAGAAATTAAATAACTCAAAATTAATAACTTGAAAAATAATCGACAAAAGAAAAAATACAGGAGATAAATTAAATAGACTAAACTTATGGCCTAACTCTATTTTTCCGGTGGAGTCGTCATTCTATCGCTACACGACGTCGAATGAAATTTTAAAAAAATTCTAGGTTTTTAGAGATTTGCATCTATTTTTTCGGTTATTTTGGGGATGCGAGTTATTATCGAGTTTGGAGTCGCCACCAAGTATGAAGGAACTAGGAACCTAAAAAAATAACATTGATGCAGAGATTCTCGGATAAAGAGTTGGTTTTGCTTTGAGAAGATATGGATCACTCGCAAAAATGCTCTTTCCTCGAAAAGGTACCACGTCTAATTTAGTCTTAAATTCATTTCTTAAAGTATTTTTATTTATACCAAGTTATTTTTTATTTAAACTCTAATTTTCAAGTCGAATTAAGTTTTTTAATTTTGAGTGTGGCATCGTATTAGAACGATTGTCGGTCCCATTTGTCGAGCAACACATCGGTTCAAACATCAAATTCACTTTACGCCCGGATACAACCGAGTGTGTCGGAGAACATTCGATTGTTTGAATGTTGATGAGATTTTATTATCATTATTATTGTTAACGATAGTCCTTATCGAATAGAAGACTTCATTAATAATTTTTATTGATGGGGAACTATTATCGCTTTTAAGAATTAAGAGACTCAACAATTCACCAATCTATTAACTACTAAACTAGTTTCGAAACAAAATCCTAAAATTAACTATGAATTTTCCTTCTTTTTTTTTTTCTTATTTATCATTTTTTTTTCTTATTTATCATTTTTATTTTTTTCTTTTTTTCTTATCTATTGATAAAAAAAAAACTCTCATCGATCTCTAAAAGTTACGAGACTCAATAATTCTTTTATCAAATAATTATTTAATTTAATTACTAAAAACATCCAAAATTTTAAAGTTAATTAAATAAATTTAAAAAAATGTCTAAAATATTAAATCTAAAGTAATGCAAAAAAATTAAAAAATGCAAAAAGATTAATGAAAATACTTAGAATATAGTAAAAAATAAAATAAAATAAAAAATATTCAATGAAATCATTTTAGGCCTCGAGCCCATTGGCTCGTGCCTTATTCTCTCCTACTCGTTTTCTTTTTCTTCTTTTTCCTTTTCTTTTTTTCCTTTTTTCCGACTAGACTAACTCTAGGTTTTTTTAATTACATTTTGATTTTACTTTTTCTTTTCTCTCTTTTTTTTTTATTTTGCTATTTTTATTTTTTGAAGAATGGGGTGGCAAAAGTTGGACTTAAACCAACTTACGCTCCATTTTTTTTTTTTTAAGAAAGCATAATTGGGTTAAAAGCTAGGCCAAAAAGCCCAACCTATTCATTTTATTTTCTTAAAAAATCTAGACTAAGCCCACAAACAAGGTTCGAAAACTTTTCATTTTAATTTTCGATCAAACACCTTTCCTAACTCTCTCTCTCTCTCTCTCTCTCTCTCTCGCGTTCTTCACCTTCTCTCTCTATTCATCATCATTTTCCGGGCATTGAATTTGATTTTAGATTGAAACAAAAGCTTAACTAACTATATCATGTTCAACATCCTTGCATCCATCAAAATTAATAGTCCAAGGCTTAAACAAAAAAAAAAAAAATCAAACAACATAAAGTAAAAGGAATGGAAAACTAGGAAAAAAATGAAGAACACTAATCAAATTGTTGATGTTGAGGATCGTTGTTATAAATATGAGGTGGATAGAAATTGAACCTCGGGATAGTTTCGGGAGGATTAAGGTACACTTTTGATTGGTTTTAGACATTCGGACAAGTTCGAATCGAAGATTTGAGGTCTAATAGTGGAAAGAAAAGTTGAAAACGAAATCTAGAAAAGTATGAACACCAAGAAAAGCTGCCTAAAAATGCAGCAATCCGGGAAGCCCAAAATGCTAAAATCTCATAATGTTTCAACTCGTTACTCTCGATTTATCTTTCTCTCCAACCAAAAAATCTTAATCAAAATAGAAACAAACCCCCTTTAGTTGTCCCGTAAAATGCGAAATTTGAACCTAGAAATTGATGAACACCAACTCCCGACCAAAAATTTCCTAGAAAATGTAGGAACCAAAACTCAAAAAGAAAAAAAAATCCCTCGAATTTTACTCTTTTTCTTGCTTTTCACTCTCTCTCAACCTAGAATTCCTCCCTCTCTTGTTGTCCAACACCAGCCTTTTATAGGCACGAATTCCTCGTAGAATCAACCGAGTCAATCTCAAATTCCTTGTAAAATCAACCACTCAATCCCGAATTTCAGCTGTCAAATCTCGAATTTGAGATTTAATTAGCTAACACAAGAAAACTAGATCATTCGAGTGTGATTCTTGGTCGGTATCAAATCTAGACAAGAATCAAAGTAAATGCATTTCAAAAAACATAATCGATGGAAGATTTGGAAAGATTGTTGAAAGATTTTCGAAAAGATTCAGGTTAGAGTAGATGACAAGTTGTCCGCTTGATTTTAGTCCTATTATTCTCTCTAACATTCTAATTTGGACCATGTGAATTTCGATTATCCGCAATCATGCTCCTTTTCATGTAATTTCAATCTTGTAAAGTACAATTTTTATCAATTGAGCCTCTATAGACGGTAATTTAGGTTTTGAATTTCTTCATTGACTCAATTGTGCCCTTAGATACTTCAATTACACTTTCTTTTGATGCCATTGTGTCCTTTGATGAATTTTTTGTATTTTCTATATATTTTCCTTTTTTTTTTGTATTTTTGTTTTTACTTCTTTCTTCTCCTAAAATAATTCAAATAAAAGTGAAATAAACTAAACTAAAATTAAAAAAATAGAATAAATAATAAATAAAAGAAAATATAACTAAAAATTAAAATTGTAAACTAGATGTGATTTTTTTATTTATTCGACACATAAGTTGATAAACTATTCTTTTGCATGAGATTTTATTGCATCTTTTTTTTCGCAAGAAAAAATAATTGAAATCCAAACTAGTCATTAAAGTAAGATTTTAAGAGTCTCATGAGCTTTTCCTTTCTTGTCATTGCTCGTAGTAGTTTTTTTTTTTTCTTTTTTGTCTTTTTTTTTTATCAGCTTTAATATTAAATCTAGTAGTTTTGCTATTAAATATGATGTTTTTATTTTGGTATTTGTTTAATTTATTTGGTATTTTCCTTGGTTTAAAGTTGAAGTTGTTGTTTGATTATTTTTTATTGTTTCTTGTGTTCTACTTTTTAATAGGCTTTTGTGCTGCAATAAAAGTTTGAGAGATTGCTAATAATAAATTAGCATCCAGGCCTTTTGTCCGTGTGTATATATATATATATCAAGTGGAAAAATCAAGATAACATAATTATTAGAGGACGGTCACAAAAGAGTGTTTGTTGTCCCTCTATTTATAAAATAATTCTAAATTATTATTTTATATCTGAATTTTAGATTTTTAGTTTCTAAATAAAATTTTGATTGTATATTTTTTGAACGTTCTTAATTATATTTAGATGCATTTCTTTTTCTATATTCAAATAATCATCTTGTACATTGATTGGCTTCATATTTAGACATAAAAGTTTCTCCTAATTTTAAATCAATGAAATTTCTATCTTTAGTAACAATAATAATAATTAGAGTTTTTCATTTATCAGTCTACATATAGTTTTTATCTTTATATGGATCCGTGGAAATCACATGATAAAACTGAACGTATTTTCTTTTACCCTTTTCACAGTTATTATAATTACACCAATGTAATAGTTTTTTTTTTTTTGGTCATCACAATCTAATATTAAATGTTGTCTGGCACTATTTTCCTCATTAACGTATATAAGTTGCATTTTGGTTTCTGTCAACTCAAGCATTGAAAGGTCAACAAATTAACCTTTCTCGATTACTAGTAGTTGTCAAATAGGGAATCAAATAAAAGAGTGCTTTGAACCAATTGTTGAAGAGCCTATTAATTTGTTCCAAATTGAAGAGACCAAACAAGAAGGAAAGAAGAAAGCAAAAGCAAAAAGGCAAGACGCGGCACTCTGAATCTTTGCTAACAGGAACCTTGGGTCGGGTTTATCCGTAACTCCCTTAGAATATACGAAGCTTGAATCTATGGTAATATCACGTCTTTCCTTACCTGTAATGGCCGATTTGACATTCCTATTGAAAATGTCGGGTAATTGGCATTTTCTTCTTCTTCTTCTTAGAGGGTAGATAAATTATAAAATCAGTCCCTCTAGTTTCAAAAAATAAAGTAATTAATCTTTTTTATGTTAAAAATTATTATTTAATTATTTAACTACTATTAACTATATTTATTAATATTATTTTTATTAGACAAAGCATTTTTTTTTGCATCAATCTTTTTACATTTTTTCATATATTTTTTTATTTCTTAAAAAATCAAAGTAAATTAAAAAAGAGCAAAAAATATTGAGTTAAAAATATATTTAAAAAAACATGAAGACTAAATAATTAATTTTTGAAACAAAAAGACTAATTAATTCATTTTTTAAAACAAGAGGGCTTACTTTATAATTTACTCTTAGGAAGGTAAGGGTTTAGTTAATCAACGTATAATTCTTCGCTTTAAAGTAGTCCCTCTAAAACTAGTGCACATTTTTCCTTCTTATTTCAGAATACAAACACAGTCAAATATGGTAAAATCGGACCATACTATTACAATAAATAAAAAATAGTAATACAGAGAGTCAAAATCTAAGGAAAGGTTAATTTTGAAGGGCAAAAAAACCTACACATTACCGCGCAAAGGAAGGACAGCCCTTTGAAAAACTTTCTGGCGCTCCAAACACTTCGTTTCTCTCCAGCCACATTCTCTCCTTATTATCCTCCTTCAAATAGTTTCACGTCTTCTCAAAGCCGAAGGCAGACAGAGAAACAAAACCAACAAAGAAAAGCCAACAAAAAATTTGTTTCATATGGCCAAGAAGGAGAATTCTTGTCAATCTTTGATCCCAAGCTTTCTCTACTCCTCTTCTGTTGGCTACAAAAATGGAGGAGTACTGCAACAATCTACACTTTCGCCACCGTCTAACAGTGGGGATCATCATGGAGTGCTGTCAAAGAACTTTGTGATACCAGCACCTATGGAAAAGATAGAGATGTACTCACCAACTTTTTATATGGCTTGTACTGCTGGTGGGATTATTAGCTGTGGACTCACTCACATGGCTGTCACTCCTCTTGATCTTGTCAAGTGCAATATGCAGGTATAATATTATAGCTTTTTATTTCTCTTTTCTCCTTTTTGTTTTTGATTCTGATTTGATGATTCTTTTTTAATTTCTTTGTCTACGATCTTACATTTTTCTATGATCGTATCATCTGGGATGTTGCTAAAATTTTTATCAAAGTGCTACTATTTTTTGCAGTTTGCTTTTTAAATGATTTTCATTTATGCAGTTTAAAAAGGATTTAAAAGGTTTTCATTTGTGATTTTTAAGGGTTTTTTCTATTTTCATATATAGATATATATATTTTATAGAGAGATCATAAGAAAGTGATTTCTTACTTTTCCTTATGGTTGGCTGTTTGAGAGTTGCCAGTTTGATCCTCAGACTGTGGGGCAAAATTGCTTTTAGATGTGAACTTGAAAATGTTTGATTCTTTCTTCTATGAACTTTCTAACGGGGTGTATGATCTTATTTCTTGCATGGTCAATTATTTTAAATTATCACATTACAGAAAAGTTGCTTTGGACAGTCGTTTATGTGCTATAGACAATCCTGCTCATGTATAATTAATAACGTTTTCCACGATGTACAGTATAATCCTTGATGTTAACGAAATTCTTATAATTCTCATTCTCATTAGTCCATTGCTCAAATTATATATATTCCATTTTGTGAATTAATTAATTCTGTTAGTGATTAGAAATTATGGTTATAAATAATATATATATTATCTCCAACTTTTGATAGCTGTATACTGCTGTACGTAGTTATTGAATAAATACCTCACAATTAATAGGTCTGCTGCAGAAATTTTACAGTAATTGATATTTCAGATTGACCCATCCAAGTACAAGAGCATTACTTCCGGATTTGGGGTACTGCTCAAGGAGCAGGGACTTAGAGGTTTCTTTAAAGGATGGGTGCCTACCTTGCTTGGCTACAGTGCTCAGGGTGCTTGCAAATTTGGGTTCTATGAGTTTTTTAAGAAGTACTACTCAGATATTGCTGGCCCGGAATACGCATCCAAGTACAAGACCTTGATTTATCTTGCTGGCTCAGCATCTGCTGAATTAATTGCTGATGTTGCTCTCTGTCCTATGGAGGCAGTGAAAGTTCGTGTCCAAACTCAGCCTGGTTTTGCTAGGGGCTTGGCAGATGGTATGCCTAAGTTTGTCAGAGCTCAAGGCTATTCTGGGTATGACAATGGCCCAAGAAATCTTTTGTTTTGTGATTATTTAGTAACTTTTAGGGCACAATACAAATTACTGAATGTTCAATGCTCTCAGGTTATACAAAGGGCTTGTTCCTCTCTGGGGCCGTCAGATTCCATGTAAGCCAAAACATTATTATTTGTTCCAAGTTGCATCCTTGGAAGTGGTTGCTAGAAGAAGTTCAACTTTCCTACATTTGCTAAGGATGTTGCTGATCATCTGAATTGGCATCTTGCAGACACAATGATGAAATTTGCATCCTTTGAGACTATTGTGGAGCAAATATACAAGAATGTCATCCCAACACCCAAAGACCAGTGCAGTAAAAATTTGCAGCTTGGAGTCAGCTTTGCTGGTGGATACGTTGCTGGTGTACTCTGTGCCATTGTCTCACACCCTGCAGACAACCTGGTGTCTTTCCTCAACAATGCCAAGGGGGCAACTGCTGGTGACGTAAGTGAATTTTAGCAGAAGTGTCTTACTCCCACGTTGTTTCTGCATTTGTTCACCTGCAATGTTTTGTAATGGTTTCTTCTGTTGCAGGCCGTGAGGCAGCTAGGTTTATGGGGTCTGTTTACCCGTGGCCTTCCTCTCCGAATTTTCATGATAGGAACACTTACAGGAGCACAGTGGGGTATCTATGATTCTTTTAAAGTGTTTGTTGGGCTGTAAGTTTCTTTTCCTTTAGCTTTGTATTCTCTTATGCTTTGTTATCTTCTTTCTTGCATCCTTGGAGATGATTGCATTTCAATTGAATTTGTAATTCTTCTTTTTCACAGACCAACTACTGGTGGTGCTGCTCCTGCTTCAGCTGCTGCAAAGGCTTAATTTTGAGCTTATCTGTGAACAAGATACCATGATTTGAAATTCATTGTTATATTATTGTTGCTTGATTCTTAAGAGGATGGTTCTAATTTCAATATGCATTGAGATATGTTCAAGTTAGTACTATATAACAAGCAGCGTAGAATTTCAGTTTCCACAAAAAGGAGAATATGATGGGATAGTAATACACCAGTTTCTATGATCTGATTACTGGGTTCATATGTTTTTGTCCATGAATCTGCAACCTGGCTTCTGTGATGAAAAAGTGATTAAAGCAATCTTGCTTGAATATGCAATACTACTTTCTTATACAGAATAACTTTTCTTAGGAAAAGTTACATCATACTAGCCAATTCAGAACTATAAAATTACAGTCATTTGAGTTTCGGCAAACTGCTGCATTGAATCCTTCATTTTCAGAGGCGCAGCATTCAAGTTGATTACCTGAAAGCAGTATGTCTCGAGAAAATTGAGCTTAACAGGAAATTAGCAAGATACAGCATGCCAAATACTGAATTCTATGACAAAGCGCTACACCAAACCAGCAATAAAGAAGCATTGGCCTTTGATACCAAACTTGCGCCAATTTGTGAGCTTGATGCAACGTATTTCAGTTTCACGATCAAAAGATTTTCAGCTTCCCCGACTTCATGGAATGGGATCTAAGGTACAAAGAATATGAAAATTAATCATTTCCTGTAATGTAGTATACTTTATGTTCATGACCAAGTAAACAGATCAAGGGAAAAAATTACATGTACAATAAGACCAGTGCGAAGTAGGAATCTGGTCGAATAATTGAGGCTTTTCCATGATAACTTCATTCAAAATTGCAGCTTTGCAGTTCAACTTTCTGTGTCTTGCTGTAGGATTGCATGGTCTGGATTTAAGTTAAGCGGGAAAACAGTATCAAAGACAACCCTTGCAAAAGTATGCCGAACTTCTTGCAGGCTTCCCAAAGCCAACATCTCATAATCAATCTTTCTACCTCGCTTTGGCACAAATCCTTTCTCTGAGCCCTCTCTTGAACATTCAAAAATCTTGCACACTCTTAAATACACTGCCAACGGAATGAATACCTGCACATTGGAGATTATATCAGGCATATCCCAAATGACAAAAAATATATATCAATAAATGCAGAAAGCATCGAAGCAGCATAAAAATGAAATATTGAAAAACAAGATACTCTCTACACAACTGTCATCTTCATTCTCAAAACTTACATTTAGAAATAACATCCACTTCTAATCTGCTAATAGATTGCATAGATCTAAAGGCAATCATCCTACATTTCATAAAAAGTGGACAGGTCCTGCTTTTGTCATCATTACTCTCACTTGTGATGAAAATAGCTGAGACCAGAGATATTTCCCACCACCAAAATATTATTTGAAGCACTTAAGTAATAAATTTCCAGTGAAAACTCTTATAAGCTGAGAAAATTTATCATCTCAAAATCAAATTATATGTAATAAAATGGAGTGCAAACTTTTGCAGAGATAATTCCATCTAAAATGTCACTATCTAAGAGAAATGATTTCAACTGTTCTATATTTTAGTATTTTCAGATGTGTTTGTTCTTGAGACTTGAACCTCCATTTTCCTGGTTGCAAGCCCAAGAAGTTTTCACCATTACAAGAAAGCAATGGCCCTTTTCAAAAACATATCCCCTCATAAGCATTGCCTGAACCCTTCTAAACCACCTGCTGCCAACAAGAAAGATATAAGTAACCAACATAAAGAGCATTCGGTTCTAATCCATTATTGGAACCCCTATTGTTGTATGTATTAGAATGTGTATGTCAAAGTCAAACCATTGCCTCAAACTTGGAAAAGAAAAAAGGAAAAGAAAAGGAAGTGCTCACCAAATCCGAATACGGTGCTTGAGGGTACTCTACCATTGCCTGTGAAACATAATGCTCATCGGTCATCCAATATATGACTTGTTTAACAGATGCTGCGAAATCCACAACCTCATCAACCAGTGCCTTATAGTCCAGATTCTGAGGTTCAGATAACTCATGAAAGCTGGCATCATGGGGCTTGGTTAACTTCCTCGCCATGTTTACTCCTCCTAAAATATCTCCACCATTGTGGACAGCAAGACAATATGCCGCAACCACCATAGGGTCCCTTGGTCGATCAGATAATGCTTTATGGAATGCTAAGATTCCAATCCTGGAAAAAAAGAAAGGAAAAGCTGTCATAAGCCTTTGCTTCTTGGTCCAATTTACATGCATCAGTATTCGGTATATTTTGATTTACATGAAATAGTGCTTGTACTCCGAAGGAGTAGGAAAGGACCAATAAAATCAAGAACCAACCAAACACATTCAAATACCATAGTTCAAAAGAAACGACATGGCAAAAAAGAAAATCCCAAGCATGCATTAAATTCATTTTTGAAAGAATATGAACTACCCATTCATGGCTAAATAAATTTTGCATGCTAGGTTTCTCTGCAGAGGATGCAAATTTGAATTACTTAAAATTAGCATCACTCTCTAAAAATTAGTAACAATCTCCTAAATTGAGCAAGTCCACCAATGGTGGATGATGCTAACAAAGTCTAATTTAATTAACTAAATGGTTTCACATTCATTGCAGGCAATGCACCAAATAGTGAAAGATGATACGTTGATAGTAGATCAACAAATTTCAAAAGTTTTTATCATGATGTGCAAGTTTATTACAGCATCTGAAAAAGAATAAAGAAAATTTTAAGATCAAGAAAATTATTACCATAAGCTGTTGTGGCATGGCCTATCAGGTGCAAGAAGTCTATCCAAGTTAGAAAACAGACACTGCAGATGAAATAAAAAACACCTCAATCATTTCAAAAGCCACTCAACCCCCTTGCTTTTGGAATAAAATAACTCAAATAAGCTTGGTTCCAAACCAGTTAAAATACACTCAGAAACAAATACCAAAGTACTGACATAATCTAAGAGTGATTATTAAACTTTTGGGGTCTCATATACCCTCATGGGGCTTGAAATTACTTCTTAAAGATTCATATCTGATGAAAACCGCACATTCATATTCAGAAGGCATTGCTATTATTGGTTGCAAGTATAAATGTATAAAATAAGTAAGCAACTTCAGAAATCCAATAACATAATGACCTAAAGCATCTGACCATTAATGTATTTGGAAGAGTCTTCTTGAAAAAACTGGCTATTCGAGAGGTATACCCTTGTTGGATTATTAATCTAGAAAATTGGTAACTACGAAAAGTAGGAAACAAAAACCAATTTCAAGAAATGCTGTTTCTAGAGATTTTTACCAACCAGGAACATGACTAGAAGGTAGTCGATCTTAGGCTGAACTTATATATGCCCTTATCTATTATTGAACCTCAATTACAGTCAAACCAGCTATTGAAAATCACAAAATGAGTAACCAAGATAATAAGATTACCAGAAGCATGTTAGATCTCTTGTCCCGTCTCTTAAATCCATCACGAACAAAATATGCAGCCTGCAAGATGAATCTATATAAGACCAGCAACAGAAGTATCATATAGAAATTAACATCAAATACATACCTGGAAGGGCAGAAGTAGTTCGAGAAGTCCAAATTTCCATAATATCCTCAAAGAAGCTTCGGCAGAACCATATGCAAGCATGTAGTTCATCTCCATCAAGATTCTCATCTAGAACATTTTGATACTAGATTTAAGTCAGTTAAGAACATTCTTGTATACAAGTAAATGTATGGGAAACTATAAAGAAGCAAGGAAGATCTGCTTTAATACCCTGTCAAGCCTTAGTAACGTGCGAGAAAGTTTTTTGACAAATTGAGCTGTTTCCCGTGTAAAACGGAATCCTAAACGAGCAGCAATTCTTACTGCACGCAGAATGCGAGCTGCAAAAGGAAAGGAGTCACATACAACCATGATAACGGACATGAGAAAACAAAGCATTGACTATGAATATGGCTGTGAATGAGCTAATTAGGTATGCATATGCTACATTTGGAAGAGATACTGAAGGTTAGCTGAAGATGAAGCTCACCACAGTCCTCTTGAAAAGAAGTACTAGCTGAGATCACAGTTCGCACCTATGCCCACGGAAGCTGGTGTGAGGACAACATATATTGTGACATATTGAAAGAAATTCACAAACTAACAAAGTTATGAAATACATTCACACTTTAGCCTTTTTAATATCTTCCAGACCTCCCATATAGTCATACACTATTTTTTTATATGGATCAAACATCAATCTGCATGCAAAGACATTTGGAAGAATGAGATGAGTTGCAAACAAGAGATCCAAAATTCACTAACCAGAAAACGTGATTTGCATCTTCAAGTACTAACCCATTTATTGTGAAGTCCCGCTGCAAACAATTCTTCCAACGAACATAATCCTTCTCACCACAATCAATGGGACTACCGATGTCATTGCTCAAATCCACCCTGAACTTCCGTCCTGTGATGCTAAAACTCGAAACCTGTCATTAAAGAGAATTAGAAATACAAAAATGAAAACAAAGGGAATAGATGATTTAGATCTAAATGCAAGAGACAAATCCTATACCAATTATGTGCAAAGAGGGATGAAATTGGAAGTGGCATCCTACACCGGTTGTCATGAGGCACAAAAAAGTGCATAGAGGAGTATGACAAATTTCATTGAGCTATCGGATGCAATGAGCAGAGAGTGAGAGAGAAAGAGGCCATCATACCTCCACAATAGTATCCCCAATGTGCACATGACAGATGGGGAACCGTTTGCCAACTATTTCACACCGTGAAAATGCCCTTACTACCTGCACGCATGATTAAATTTTACCAAGCATATTAAATAGCTCAAACAGAACATTTTATTATGTCATTGCATTTAAACACAGATTCTAAAGCTGTGTTGGGCATTACAAATGTTTACCAACATGACAAAGAAACCAACAATTCTAAAAGCTTAGTACAGTATAAAAGTATAAATCAACCTCTTTAAGCTCAGCTGATGTGATTACATCAAAATCTTTTGGTATTCTCTTTAAAATAAGATCCCGGACACAACCTCCCACAAGATAAACCTCATATCCTACAACAAACAACAGAAAGACTCCATCCTTTAACAACAAAAGACTATAATAAACACCATAATAATTAGTAACAAACAACAATTTTCCTAAAATACCATAAGTATCACCAACAACAAATGTCTACATTCATTGCCAACAAAATAATAATAATAATAATAATAATAATAATAATACTAATAATATATCCACAAGATATAAAACACTCCATTACGGACCAAAAGAATACCATTTTTCTTAAGTCCATTAAGGACCATCTTTGTAGGCCTTGAAATCATTGAAGTACTCATTCCAAGTTCCTTGGCATTCAATTTCTTCCACTCCGGCCCCTTATGGCCCCCTGAAAAGAACAAGAAAAGAATCCCAATCTTTTTTTTTTTCAAAAATACCCATAATTTATTAAAAGCAGAGAAATTTAAAACAGCCCAAGAAAGTAAAAGGTACCGAAATTTTTATTCTTGTCATTGATAACATTCTCTTGATCATCAAAGGTTTCAATTGCTGCAACTGAACTGAATCTAAACTGCAAGAAGATAATGAAACAAAAATCATTTACAAAGAAGAGATCCAAATTCACTTAGTTACTATAAACATTGATAGAAATGTGGATTTTACTTACTTTTCGAATGCAGCGAAAAAGAGGTGGCCTAAAAGGGAAGCTGAGTCTACAAGCAAAGCTTAATCTTGAAATTGCCATGAATTGATTGATTGATATTGAAGTGTATGCTTAAACCCTAGTGAAATGGGATTCAGGGGTTTTTAGGGTTTTAGAGAAAAAGGTCATAAAATTGCGAGCACGAAGTATCTGAAGTGACGTGGCATTTGTAAATGGCCAGAGTTTTAAGATGGATCAGCCCATGGGCTTTGTCAGTTTAACTTAATAGCAGGTAATCAATGGTCTAATTATGAGAAGGCCATGGATAATGAAACATAAGGTAGGCCCAAGATGGACGAAGCAATTTGGAAAATAATTTTCAATGAAGATCAACGATTTGGCTAATTAATTAAGCCAATAATTGGGCTAGTTTTTATGAAGAACAGAAATTAGTTATTTATTTATTTATGATAACAATTTGGTAATTAAATGATTATGAAGGGACAAAGTAGGCATGATCTATATTAGCCCATTTTGGCTAATGTCATGAACAATAAGACCTTCCAAATTGCAAAATATATTTTACGAAGAATGCTGCTAACTTTATCAAAATAATTCAGCTAAAGGAAATATTCACAAAACGTTAACATACACAGTCCCATCACTGTCATCACATCACCTGAATTTATACCTTAAGTGCCTATGATAAAATTATAAAATAAACTAAAAGAAAACACAAAATAACTATTTTATTTTCACTGCAGTTAACTGTTCATAATTTTTTTTTTTCCTTCCACTTGCTGGCCTTGCCTTGACTTTCAGTAAACTTTGTTTTTATTTTATTCTTTGTTTTATAATTAATTTTTATTTTGATTATTAAAATTTTTTTATATTTGATTTTTATCCTTATAATAAATATATTTTCTTACCTTATAGTAAAAAATTATGATATTTTTTTATTTCTATTTTGTAATATATTTTTATTTTACGAAATAAACTAAAAGAAAATACAAAATAACTGTTGTATTTTCACTTTGGATTACTGTTTATAACTTTTTTTCCTTTTCGCGTGCTATATGTAAGGCCTCTCTTTTTTCCCCCTTTCGCTTGCTAGCCTTCCTTTGGCTTTCAATAAATTTTATTTTTATTTTAATCCCTATTTTGTAATCTTTTTTTACTTTGATCATCAAAATTTTCTTATATTTAATTTTTATCCCAATAATAAATATATTTTTTTGCCTTTTAGTTAAAAAATTATGATCTTTTTGGTTTCTATTTTGTGATATATTTTTATTTTAGTCATTAAAATTTTATTATGTTTAATTTTTTTTTTACTACACTAAAACTAAATAAAGTTTCACTATTTTAAGCTTTTTTTTTCGCTTTTAGTGAAACTTTTCTTTCTATTAAAATTCATGTTATTATGTAGATTTTTATTTTTATTTTAGTCTTTGTTTATAATTTTTTATTTTAATTATTATATTTTTATTATATTTTATTTTTTCCCTACAAGGAACTATTTTTTTACTTCTAGTAAAGCTTTTTATTATGCTTGAGTTTTTATTTTGTGATCTTTCTTTCATTTTGATCATTGAAGTTTTATTATATTTGATTATTATTCTTTCTATATTAAAATTAAATATAGTTTCGCTATTCTATTCTTCTTCTTCTTCTTCTTCTTCTTTTCTTTTTTTTTTTTTTTTTTTTGCTTTTAGCAAAAAACATTTTCTATTTTGGTTCTTATTTTATGATTTTTTTTTTGTCATTAAAATTCTATCATGTTTTATTTTTATTCCTACCTTATGCATAATGAATTTTTTTTAGTCTTATTATTTATAATTTTTTTGTGCTTTTAATGAAAGTTTTTTATTTATTTTGATTCTTCTTTTATGATATTTACTTTTTTTTGTTCATTTAATTTTTATCATGTACAATTTTATCTCTATTTTAGTTACTAGTTCTTATACATATTTTTAATAAATACATGTTTATATAAATACAATATCTAATTAGCAACTTTATATTATTGAACTTTATAAACTTTTCGTTTAGCTAACCCATAATAAAATATGAGATATATGTTTTGGTTCTTGTTTTTTTTTTTTTTGAATTTTTTTTCGATCCCTTTATATAATTATTTTTGAATTTTATATTTTATATGAATAAATACATAAGAATATTGCATAACTCACCATTGTCACAGTATATGCTAGTTTGATATTAGAAGCTGTTTTTGTCAAAATTCATTCACATGAACAAATAATATCCTTTCAGTTGATGAATTGAAATAGGCTTCCGTTCAGAGCATAATTTAGGAAGCCCATTACCTGTAACATGGGGAATTGCTTCGAACCAACGAGGCCTAGTTCCGCTAACCAAAAGCCCGTTATTATCTTGAATGCCCTCGTTCTTTTTTTCATTTTCGTTTATTAAAATTTCTACAGGAGTTTTCGCTCCATTAATCCATTAGCCTTCCACCTTATACGATGAATGGTTGGAAACAGAAAATTATGAAAATTAAAAGGTCACCTTTAATATATTATAAGTCTGAAATCTAATACCAAATAGCTTGTAATTCAATAATAATAATTTTTTATAATAAAAAATTACATGTTCAAATTCTATTAAATTAATTCTACAAAAAATCTTTACGGTCCGAGTGTACGAGTTAGAAAAAAAGGTAAGTAATTTAATTGATCATCCGATTTAATAATAATAATTAAAAAAAAACTCATATTTTCGTGTTATCCATGCGATGAAGTTATTATCCTAAGTCATAAGAGTGGTCAGTAATTATTTCTCAAAAAAAAAAAAAAAAACAAGAAGAAGAAGAAGAAGAAGATACTATTCATAAACAAGGAAAGACCTAACTGCAGTCGTGGGTGCATGCATGACTGCAACAATCCTAGCTTGAGCATGTGCCAGTGCCCAGTGGGTTGTCTACATGGGCGGTTCCTCCTGCAGCCCAGAGAGGACCATCTATGTCCCCTGTATATCATTGAAGTTCCTTAAAAAAATGTTTCTATTAATTTCTCATCAGTGGTCCCATTTCAAACCTTGGATTTGTCTCTTGCGCTAGGGTAAATTTTAAAACTCGAAACCCTTGATTCCTATCAAAATTTGAAATTCTTTATGCATATAAAATTGGAAAAATTCTTTGCTTCTTAAGTTGAGGCATGGAGATATAAGGGCGAGGGAGTACTGTGTAGGTAGTACATCAGAAGTGGCCATGAATATCTTTTATTTCCATTTCGAACCTTGCTATGTTTCAGGAAAACACACATGGCTGTTCTTTTCCACTTTTTTTTTTTTTTTTCGCAGTTATTTGAGAGTAATTTCCCAATGAAAGAAACGTTTTATCGTTTGTTTATCAAGTAGCATTTTGGTTGCTTTTCCAGGCAATTTCGTGGACACACGATATGTCACATATCCGTACTTGCAAACCTAAATCTGAGGTGTGAAAGCTTTAAAATTCCACATTAAGGGACAGATGACGTTACTGACTTTGATTGATGTAAATTGTGGGGGAACCTTTACCATTTTGATCAGTCCTTACTGTAAAGAGAGTTTAACATTGTCTGCAACCACTACCTGAGTCAATTAATTATCATTTTTGAGCCGGTGCGGGAAGGAAGATAGGGCCCGGAAGGGCTTCTTTTGGACGTAAGAATGTTAGTTTGGATGAAGGAGGAGACTTCTACATCACTTATCCACATGTTGCATGATGAATTCTAGCGAAAACCACCGCCTGTTTACTCGCCCTAATCTTGTTGGACTAGGAATGATAGATGGCCACAATAGAAGTATTATTTTAAAACAGTTGTTGAACAACTACAGAGCCATTAATTGTTAGTGTCAAAAGGGAGGGGCCACATTTGCCTCTTGCATATTCAGAAATTAAACTCATGAATACCAATGGGGCAAAAGCTTTTTATTATTGAAAGATAATTTCAACCTGAGACTTAAAACACAATCTCAACTTAAAAATTTAAATGATTAAATAAATTTTTATATTATTTTTTAATATATTTTGTATTATTTTCTAAAACATTTTTATAAACAAAAACTCTTTCAATTTGAAACTTATACGAATTCATCACTAATTTATAATTTGCATATAATGATATAGAATATTATAAAGAATAAAGTGTTGAGATTCTTACTCATAATTGTTAGTTTTATATTATTTTTTAATACATGTTTTTATTAAATTTTTTGGATTCGAAACTTGAACAAGTCCACCATTAATTTGTACTTAATTACTTAATTTTAATTACAAAAAATAGGTGAAGTTTCTAATATATACCATATCATTAAAAAAAAAATTCAACTCAAAATTTAAGTTATGAGGAGATTCTATAATAATTTTTTATTACTCTCTACAACTAATTAATACAGATTGAGAATGAAGAGAACTTACATATGATTGAATTGTCTTTTTTCCTTTTTACAAAAGAATTAGATTGTTTTTACTAAATACTCTCCATTAAGAAAAGTAACTAAACACTATAAGACGCACTTGAGTGGTGGAAATTGTGACTTTTGATTGCGTATTGATTTTTTTAAACGTGTAAAATATATTACAACGAATTAATTGTCATATTCAGTCAACTATTCTTACTCTATGATACCAAAATTCAACTATAATTAAAATAAAAGATAAAACAAAGAGATAAATACTCAAATCATAAACACAATTATACCCATATCTATACAAGCTTAACGAACCAAAAGAATAATACAAACGGTGGCTAAATATCAAAACAGGATCACAAGAATTACAAGATCATACTTACAAAAAAAAAAAAAGCAATACTCAAAATTCCTAAAAGCACATATATTACAAAGCTCCATCAACAAAAAAATCCCTCAAAGTTTTTGGCATGACAAAAAAAAAAAAAAAAAAAAAAAAAAAAAAACTCTTTCTCGTGTAAAAAGATCGTCTCCTTTCTTACTTTTCACATGATATAAAAAAATTATTAATTGTTATGTTTTTACTCTTCTAAAATATTTCTTTTGTTAAAATTGTTAGTTATCAAATTGAATCCTCCATCACATAAAACTAATAATAATTTAACAATTAAGTTTAAAATAATTATAAA